TGATGAAATTAAAATATAACTTAAAATTGCTTAAAAAATGAAATGGGTGTAAATCTAACATGCAAGACTTGTATGCTGAAAGCTACATAATGCTGATGGAAGAAATGAAAGAAAATATAAAGAAATGGGGAGAGAGGGGTGCCTGGGTGGCTCAGTGGGTTAGGCCTCTGCCTTCGGCTCAAGTCATGATCCCAGGGTCCTGTGATCGAGCCCCGCATCGGGCTCTCTGCTCAGCGGGGAGCCTGTTTCCTCCTCTCTCTCAGCCTACCTCTCTGCCTGCTTGTGATCTCTGTCAAATAAATAAATAAAATCTTTTAAAGGGGCGCCTGGGTGGCTCAGTGGGTTAAGCCGCTGCCTTCGGCTCAGGTCATGATCTCAGGGTCCTGGGATCGAGTCCCGCATCGGGCTCTCTGCTCAGCAGGGAGCCTGCTTCCCTCTCTCTCTCTCTCTCTCTGCCTGCCTCTCTGTCTACTTGTGATCTCTCTGTCAAATAAATAAATAAAATCTTTAAAAAAAAAAAATCTTTTAAAAAAAAGAAAGAAATGGGAAGAGATACCATGTCTGCAAGTTGGAAGACTCAACATACTAGAGATTTCAATTACCCTTAAATTGATACACAGATATAATGTAATCCCTATCAAAATCCAAACAAAATTCTTTGTAGATATAGACCAGACTATTCTAAAATTTACAATGAAAGGCAAAGATACTAGAATAACCAAAATAATTTTTGAAAAAAACAAGAATAGGGGCGCCTGGGTGGCTTAGTCGACTAAGCATCTGCCTTTGGCTCAGGTCATGATCCCAGGGTTCTGCGACGGAGCCCCGTGTCAGATTCCCTGCTCGGAGATAGCTCTGTCTCTTTCAAATAAATAAAATAAATTTTAAAATCTTCAAAAAGAAAAGAAAAAAAAGAAGAGCAAAGTGAGAGGTATCAGTCTACTCTATTTCAAGGCTTATATAGCTACAAGAATCAAGACTGTGTGCTAGTAGTGACCCAGAAATAGATCCACACAAATATACTCAACAGCTTTTTGACAAAGAGCAAAAGCAATTCAATAAAGAATAGATAGCATTTTTAACAAATGGTGTTAGATAAGCAACCATAAGTCAAAAAATGACACGATCTAAGTTTTACACCTTACACAAAAATTAACTCAAAACAGGTCATGGGCTTGGAACTCCTCAGTGGCTCACTCAGTTAAGAATCCAACCCAATTTCAGCTCAGGTCATGATCTCAGGGTCATGAGATGGAGCCATGTAGCGGGCTCTACCCTCAGCAGGGAGTCCTGCTTGAGATTTCTCTTTCCCTCTCCCTCTGCCCCTCCCTCTGTTCACACTCTCTCTGTAAAATAAACAAATAAAATCTTTTTTAAAAAATGGGTCATGGGGCACCTGGGTGGCTCAGTGGGTTAAGCCTCTGCCTTCAGCTCAGGTCATGATCCCAGGGTCCTGGGATCGAGCTCCGCATCGCTCTCTCTGCTCAGCGGGGAGCCTGCTTCCTCCTCTCTCTCTCTCTCTCTCTCTCTCTGCCTGCCTCTCTGCCTACTTGTGATCTCTGTCTGTCGAATAAATAAATAAAATCTTAAAAAAAAAAATGGGTCATGGGCTTAAATGTAAAATAATAAACTTTAAAACTTTTAGGAAAAAGATGAGAAAACGTTTGGGATCTAGGATTAGGCAAAGAGTTCTATAACTTCACACCAAAAGAATAATACATTGGAGGAAAAATTGTTAAAATGGATTTCATCAAAATTAAAAACGTTTGCTCTGCAAAGGAGTCTTTTAAGAGGACAAGAAAAAAAAGCAATAGGCTGAGAGAAAAGATTTGCAAACTACATGTCAAGAAAGGACAGGCACCAGACATATATCTAACAAAGGAAAAAAAAACCTCTAAAATCAACAGTAAAAAAATCCAGTTAGCAAATGGGCTAAAGAAATGAAGAGACATGGGGGCGCCTGGGTGGCTCAGTGGGTTAAGCCTCTGCCTTCGGCTCAGGTCAGGATCTCAGGGTCCTGGGATCGAGCCCCACATCAGCCTCTCTGCTCGGCAGGGAGCCTGCTTCCCTTCCTCTCTCTCTGCCTACCTCTCTGCCTACTTGTGATCTCTGTCTGTCAAATAAATAAAATCTTTGAAAAAAAAAAAAAGAAAAAAGAAATGAAGAGACGTGCTGTGAAGAGCAGTAGGTGTTACAGGCAACTAATGAATTCTTGAACACTACATCAAAAACTAATGAACTAAAACTAATATGTTGGCTAACTGAACGTCATAAAAAAAAAGGAAAAAAAAGAAATGAGACATTTCACTGAAGAGGACATGCAGATAATAAATAAGCCCATGAAAAGATGCTAAACATCATTAACCACCATGCAAACGCAAATTAAATTAAGACCAGATACCTGCATAATACATAATACATATCTATACATATCTACCAAAATGTCTAAATAAAAAATAGGAACACTAAATGCTGATGGGGATGCGGGGAGACTGACCCCACATACATTGCTGGTGGGAATGTAAAATGGTGCAGAAACTCTGGAAAGCAGTTTTTTTTTTTTTTTAAGATTTTTATTTATTTATTTATTTATTTGACAGACAGAGATCACAAGTAGGCAGAGAAGCAGCAGAGAGGAGGAAGCAGGCTCCCTGCCGAGCAGAGAGCCCGATGTGGGGCTCTATCCCAAGACCCTGGGGTCATGACCTGAGCCGAAGGCAGAGGCTTTAACCCACTGAGCCACCCAGGCGCCCCATGGAAAGCAGTTTTAACAGTTTCTCATCAAAACTAAGCATGCAGGACAGTGGGTGGCTCAGGCAGTTAAGTGTCTGCCTTCAGCTCAGGTCATGATCCCAGGGCCTGGGATGGAGTCTGGCATCACGCTCCTTGCTCAGCGGGGAGCCTGCTTCTCCCTCTGTCTGCTGCTCTCCCTGCTCTCTCTCTCTCTCTCTCTAACAAATAAAATCTTAAAAACAAAAACAAAAACAAAAAAACCTAATAAACATGCAACCGCCATGTGAACCAGCAACTATACTCCTGGGCATTTATCCCAGAGAAATGAAGACTTATGTTACATGACATGTTACTGTACTGCAATGTTTATAGCAATATTATTCATAGTAGCCCAACAATGGAAACAACTAAGTGTTCCTCAAACAAAGTGTGATACATCCATACCACTGATACATCCATACTACTCAGCAATTAAAAGGCGCAAACTAATGACATGCAACGACCTGGATGAAATCTCCAGAGAATTTTTGCTCTGTGAAAAAAATCCAATCCAAAAAGGTTAGGTACCCTGTGATTCTGTTCTATAGCAGTCTTGAAATGAGAAAAGTATAGAAACAAAAAACAGAGTAGTGGTTGTCAGGGGTTAAGGTGGAAGTGGTATAGAAATGAAGTGGATGTGGTATAAATGGACAACCTGAGGGATCCTGTGGTGATGGCAAGTTCTCTATATTCTCAGCATCAATGGCAATGCCCTGGTTGTGGTCTTGTACTATAGTTTTGCAAGATGTTATTACTGAAGAAAACTGGATAAACAGTACAGGGGATTTCTATTATTTACCAACTGCACGATTACATCTGAATCCTCAATTACCTCAAAATAAAAGGTTTAATTAGAAAATAAAGGTAACATTATTGCAAAATAAGTACACCAACTCACAAGAAATACAATACCAATTAAATAAAGTGCTCTCTTTAGCTCAAGTTTAATTCTGAAGATCATTCTGAATCAGTTTATAAAACACAATTTCCTCATCTATATACCCACACCAAGGAACGGTAACACAGTTCAGACAGAAAAACAGAGTTTTCTGAACACGTAATAAAAGTGCAAAGAGATCTTGGGCTATCAGGAAGAAAAATCCTTATCCAAGCTCTATCAAAGAAGCTGGCTGTATAACTTCCACACATCACCTTACCTCTAAGGCTACAATCTGAAGTCTGTTCCTACTACCTAACTCAGGAAACTCCCAAACGTCCTGGTCTCAGGCCCCCAAAGAGCTTTCACTCACCTGGATTACAACCATTAATATTTACAGTATTAGTAATTAAAAGAACTTTTTTAAAAGACAGGTACACACATTAGGCTTCAGAAAGGTGAGGTCATCCCACCTCACATAGTCTCTGGGAAACTCAATGTATATTTAGAAAGAGGGTGAAAGGGCAAATAACTCCTGGGTATTGTTATGAAAATAACTGTGACCACACTTTGAGAACCACTGGCTTACTATCAAATGAGGTAAATATTTAAGTGATTTTAAAAGTATAAAACATTGAACAAATCATTGAACAAAACATACATTCTTTTATGTTCAAGGCTGCCAAGCCAGAAAAAAAAAAAAAAAAGCTCAAATCCTAATGGAGAACAACTAGGACAAGCGCACAGTTGGTAAAGAGAGGGAGCTTCTTCAAAGTCCAAGAAAGCTGGGCTCCAGTGAGTATGGTCAGGAAAAAGTGTACAACCGTAAACTACTACACTACTGTTGGACTGATCCGCTCCGCACGTCCAAAACCGTTATGAAAATGATGGACCCACAATCACTGTTTCAGATTTAACTTTGGGCGAGACAGGGAAGCAGTTGCAAAACTTCCAGCCACTCCAGCACCGCCTTCTCGGCGAGCTGTGGGGGTCCGCCCCGGGCCCCGCTTCTGGGAGCGAGGGACCGCCCCGCCCGGCGTCTCCCGCGCTACCGCAGGAGAAAGAGAACCCCTCCTCCCCAGCCGCGTCGGACCAGCCAGCCGCGGGAGCCCGGGGAGGACCAGGAGAGTGGGCAGTAGCGGCTGAGGAGGGGCGGGGCTCACAATCCCCGCCTGGACTGGCCGCGGCCGGGACTGGGCTGCGAGCTGCGAGCTGCGAGCTCCGAGCCCCGCGCTGAGGAAATTACGCTGTGACCCCGGGAAACGCGGGGCGGGGGTCCTGGGAGTCGGGCCCTGGGGAAGCAGGCAGTGCTGGGCAGCAGAGGGGGCGTGAGGGGTCGACCGAGACTCACCAGGTGCCGCGCCACCTCAGAGGTCATGGTCCCGAGCGAGAGCTGAACGAAGGCGGGGGGTCCCAGGGAAGCAGGGGGTCTCAGCCCCGGCCCCTGATCAGAGGGTCCAGAACACGAACCGAGCAAAGTGGGGCCGGGAAGAGTGGAACGCGCGGGGCACAGGCTGGAGGCGGGTATAACGGGCGGGGCCAGCCTCCGCTGGGGGAGGGGGCGGTATTATGGGGGGGTGCGTCCAGGAAAAGGGGAGGAGCCAAGCCAAGTGGCCTCAGTGACGCGAAGGCGCGGAGCGGGAGGGCGGAGGCCGCACGAGGCAGAGCGCGCGCCATTAGCCGCACAAAATCGTTCCGCGCGCGGGCGCGCGCGAAGCGAGTTTCTCAGAAGAGTGCCCCTCGACGTCTCAGAGAACGACATATCCATGCAGGGGGAGGGTGACTGGAGGAGGTTCGGGAGAAGATGTGAGGAAACAAATCTCCTCCGCCAGCGGAGAGCCGCGGGTACGTGCAGTGATTGCTGGCCCGTGCGAAGGCCGGAAGTGGGAGGGCCATGAGGCGGGGAGGGGGCGTGCCCGCCGGCGGCGGGCCGGAGCCGAACTAGCGGCCACCGCGGGGACCGGAAGTGGGCGGGCTCCGGGCGGAGTGAAGCCAGCGGGGCGGGGCCGGCGGGGGCGTGTTCTCCCGGGGCGCGGCCCCAGTAAGGCGGTGGTGGCGTCTCCCGCCACGGACGCCCAGGCGTGAATCCCGAGGAGCAGTACGATTCGACTCTACGTCGGTTAGAAGCCAGCGTTTTGAAGCCGGCCGAAATGGGGCCGGGTTAAACTGCCCGCCGCCGGACGAGCAGCGCGGCCAAGAATGGAACGGTCGGCGGAGCTCAGCCCCGAAGCCGTGCTGCGCTTCCTCTCGGAGCGCGGGGGTCGGGCCCCGCACGCCGAGCTGGTGCAGCACTTCAGGGGTGCCCTGGGCGGCGAGCCCGAGCAACGTACCCGCGCCCGCGCCCTTTTCAAGGAGCTGGTCAATGCCGTAGCCACGGTGCGCACCGACCCTGCCGACGGCTCTAAGTACGTGCACCTTAAAAAGAGGTTCTTGGAGGGGGCCACGTCGTCCGAAGCCGTGTCCCCACGGGACCTGCCGAGCATCTCGGTGACTGCAGAACCCGAATCCAGCAGCTGCTCCCTGGGGGCACCCGACGGCCTGGTCGAGACCCGGGAGAGCGGCCTGTGCCCAGAGGCGGCGTCCCCGAGTCCGGGTTGCGAGCCGAGCGATGGGGAGCCCCGGGCCGAAGCGCTTGGGCAGCCAAGCCCGGCCGGAGAGAGCCGGAATGGGCCGCCCTTCAACGGCGGGGCCCGGAGGAAAAACTCGCGGCGAGACGTGCAGACTCCCCCCCGGGGACCAGTCCCCGGGCCCAGCGAGGACCTAGCGCCCCCGCCCCACGGCTGCGGGGAAATGGACTCGGGCAGCTCCCCCGGGGGGGTGGCTACCCCAAAGTCTACCCGCCAGAACCTCCGGGACCTTGTGATGGGCAGCTCCCCGCAGCTGAAGAGGAGCGTTTGTCCAGGAGGGAGCAGCCCGGGGAGCTCCTCTGGGGGAGTACGTGGTAAAGGCGGGGGCGACTCAGACAGCGCATCGGTCGCTTCGTCCTCGGCAGAGGAGGAGAGCAGCGGCGGGGGTTCGGTGACGCTGGACCCTCTAGAACACGCGTGGATGCTCTCAGCCTCAGACGGCAAGTGGGACAGCCTGGAAGGGTTGCTCACCTGCGAGCCTGGCCTGCTCGCCAAGCGAGACTTCATCACCGGCTTCACCTGCCTGCACTGGGCCGCCAAGCATGGCAGGCAGGAGCTCCTGGCCATGCTGGTCAACTTCGCTAACAAACACCAGCTGCCAGTGAACATCAACGCCAGGACAAGCGGAGGCTACACTGCCCTGCACTTAGCTGCCATGCACGGGCACGTGGAGGTGGTGAAGTTGCTGGTGGGGGCTTACGACGCAGACGTGGACATCAGGGACTACAGTGGGAAAAAGGCCTGTCAGTACCTGAGTCAGAGCATCGCGGAGGAAATCAAGAACCTGGTGGGAGCCCTGGACGAGGACGATGGAGAGAGTGCCACTGGCAGCGGGGGTGGGCGCTGGAGGCTTTCAAAGGTGCTCCCTTCACACCTCATCACCTACAAACTCTCACACGTCCTGGAGGATGGAGGGGATCATCACCATCATCATCACCACCACCACCACCACCAATTGACTGAGGGATGGGCTGGAGGCAAAGCAAAGGATCCAGGTCGCAAGGCCTCCGGCAGCTCTAGTGGACGAATAAAACCCAGACTCAACAAAATCCGCTTCAGGACCCAGATCATCCACACTACACCCTCTTTCAGAGACCCGGAGCAGCCACTGGAGGAGGGGGAGGAGGAAGAGGAGGAACGGGCTCTTAAAGGTCACTCATCTTCATTCAAATTGAGGCCGAAATCCAATGTATTTGGGTAAAAATAATTTCGTTTAGAAAATTCTAGGTTTATTGGTCTTCAGGAATAGAATACACACTGTAGGCTAGTAAGTGAGACCAGAAAAGAGGCTAAATTCTGCATTCTTACCTGGGGAGTTGCAATGGCTGGAAGGAATTCCCCTAGCATTCTGGGTTAAGTAGGTTTCCAAGTGATTTCATCAAACCTGCCCTAGGCCTCTCTATCCTGTGCCACCCCTCTGACGTGGAGTCCCTGTTTCTGAGGACTGGGAATGTATTTAAATTGGGTGTACAGAATTGATAATTGAGGGTTCCTTTGATTTTACAATTACTGGATGCCATGCAAAATAAGGAATATTGCACTTTTATGTTTCTGTTTTTTAAAAGTGGTTACTCTTCCAAGGGCAACAAGGAGTGCAAGTTATAATGAAATTTTAAGTGAACAAAACTACATACTGCCTTGGTTTTTTGTTTTTTACTAATTGCATTTACTTTTTAAAATACTACTGCAGGTCAGGTCAAAGTTGAAAAGCGAAAATACTATTTAGTGAATAAAAATGGTATCCTGTTTATATTGTAAGTAGTGCTCAACTATTTTTTTAAAAAAGCAATTTCAACTCTAATCACTGAACTAAAGAAATAAGCAGTATTCATTTTTGAGGTAATCTGTAGTGTGGTTTCCTCTTAACTCTAGTATCATTGCACTCAGTGTTAAGGTACATTATTAATACAAAAATTATTTTATTTAAAGAGAACACTTAACCTATGGTACTTTTAAGTAAAACATTGCCTTTGGTTCTGATTCTCACTAATTTGTTTTGTTACTCTAAAAGTCTAAATTTGCCAGAGTTTTAATTCTAGGGATCATAAAACCATTGGTTCTATTTGACAAGACCCTGTTTGGTGGTACTTAGAAGTGAATTGCCTACAGAAGCTGTTTCTGATTTAGATGACTAGCAAAAATTGGCATAAATGTTAGTGAGCCTATGCTTCTGTGAAGTAATTATTAAATCAATGATTCTCACGTAAGGTACACTTTACTAATAAAGTACACTCATAGTCTGTGCTTTATAGCAATGTTTGCATATGTTTCTAATACTAAAGACTTTAAATTTTCCAGTGTTTCCTTGAATTTATTAGAGGCGTACAGTGAAATTATAGAAAAGCTGTGTAGTAAATCTACCCAGTTAAAAATAGCACTTTATAAAAGGGAAAAGAGGTGGAACTATTTCTTTATTTAAAAGCTGCTGGCTATTGAATTCTTTTTGTATATAAGTGGAAAAATACCTTTCATTAAGATTACAGAGTTAGTGTAGTTCTTAATCACATTTCATTCAAATTTGTTAAATGTCTATATAATTATTATAAAATTTAACTCACAAGCTTATTAAATCAATTTGTAACAAGATTCAAAACAACTTCCTGGGAGATTAATTCTCACAAGTTCTGCTCCCTTAGTCTTTTTGGTCTCCGAACTGCTGAAACTAAGTACCTGGAGCCCTTAGAGGTTAAGGAGTGAGTTAACAGCTTGCAGAGTGAATGAACCAGTATATAAATGGCACAGAACTGAAGGTTAGAGAGTTCTTAGATCTTTACCAGTTTTTAGAAATTTGTACCATGTGTGTCACACCTTTCTAGATAGCAATTGAATTTGTTTAAAGACATATCAGAAATATTCACATAAAATACATAAATTATTACCCATTTGTGTGGCTTTTGGTTTTTAGATTATGGAAGTAGGCTATGTACAATTGGGAAGCACTTTTAACCATACATATGGGTAAAAACAGTAATTTTGTATATTAGAGGTTCCTTGAAGATGAAAAGCAGTCATTTGTTTGGAATTATTTATATATATCTATACGTATCTCTCTCTTTCTCTCTCTATATATATATACCTGTATCTAGTGCAGAACAAGCTATATAACTTCCCACCGAGGAATCTTACATTTCATTGACATAAAAAGCTAAAATGAGCTATGGAATGTAGATACTTCAGAACCATCTAAATGTTCTATTGAGGTCGGTATTAATCTCAAAACGTATATATTAGTAACTAATTGCACAAAATCTATAATTTACTGGATCTTTAGAAGTTGAGTCAGTATTTCAGTTTGACCTGCTTTTCACACTAAAGATTTAACTTCCAATAAAATCTAACTTTAAATTTTCAAAAATCATTCCTAAGAGGAACCACTTCTAGCATTCCTTGTCATGATGTGCTTGTGTGCAATGAGTATAGCATTTTCAGCTACTTAAACTCTACATTCCTCTTCTTTTTCAGTTTCCAAATTGAGATTATTAAAAGCAAATGATATGTGTAATTTGATTTTATGGAGTTGTCTGCCGTTAATGGAAATAAGTATGTCAATTACTTAGATGTTTGTTGATACAAAACTGTGTGATATAGACAACCCAAGTATGTCCATGTGTTTCTTATAGGTACACTTGAAACTAGTGAATGTTTGGTCACAATTCTCTTCACTTTCATGGTGTGTAAAATGCAGCTAGTTTATATAACTTGAAAATCTGGTACTATTTTATTCATGACTGAAATCTTGGGAGTCCAGGATGCCTTGTCTCTTATTTTTTAAATGAGTGAAACTTTGGGAGTTTATAGAGTGTGTAATTTGTAAAAGTTTGTTTTGTCAAAATAAAAGGTTCACACTACATTTTTTCTCTGAATTGTCTAAATCACTGTAGCCCTTTATACTTCTTACCTGTGTAGTTTTTTATAGTTAACAGTGCCTTTTGAAGTTTCCATTTATTTGATCCCTTTCCTATCCCTTAAAGTTGTTAAGGGAATGAAGGTTGATGGCTCTTCAGGTTTACGAAGTAAATGGCAGCTAGCAAGATTTTAAGATTAAGTGCTTTTCTACAATATTTTCTGCACTTCAAATTGCCAATTTTGGGCAAAACAACTGTAGTTTGGCTTCAGTGTTGGAGGAATCAACTTGGACAAAAGGGGTAGTACCTTCACCACATTTAAAAAAAAAAAAAAAAGTATAGTTCACTCACACACCAACTAACCTGAACCCTTCCAACCCAGACAGATCTTAAACATATGGGAATGCCTTTTTTAATTTTCTTCAGTATCCATTTGCTTTGGTCATTAATGTGCTCATTTCCTCACCAAATAAATACTTTAATCTCTATTTTAACAAAATTCACCTCTATTCAGATGGCAAAAGGATATATGGGAAGACTTGATGTACTTTTCTGCCATTGTGCACCTGGGAAGATCCAATTATCATTGCTGCTGGGGATTTTTATTGTCACTCTTGCTTTATGACAACGTATAAAATATTTTTCCATATACCTGAAGGACTAAGTTTAATTTCTGTTTCTAGAATGACTTCTTTCCTGAGAAGTATGTATCTTAGAAGGATTCATTGAACGGCCCACTTGAAGGATCTTTGTATTTAGTCCTAGTGAAAAACTATATTTTGCTAAATAAATGGCAGTTTGGAGTTTCCTGGAAGTTAATCCTAAAAAATAAATACTCTGGGAATTTACTGCAAACCATTGTTCTTCAGTGATGAGTCAAACTTTCATGAATAACATTAGAAGTTAAGTTGGAAAATGACATTTTGTGGACTCATTTTTCAAGATTCAGAAGTAGAGTTGTTTGTGTCATATCTGATTATTTTCCTCTGAAGAATATCACTTTCATGTTATACTTTTTCTCCTTAATCTTTTCTTTAAAACTCAGTTTTGTCTTAGGAGTGGCTTCCCCATTCAGTTAAAAAATTGTCTCTTTTTCCACATTTATTGGTAAGGAATATTGGACAAGTCCCCACCCTCACACAATGTCTGGTGTGTTGGAGATAATGAGTGGGTATGTGTGGTTTGTTTTTTTTTTTTTTTTAGTGGAAAACACTATAAAATATAATGTCACATCATATGGATAATTTCAATGATACACATTTATGCCAAATATATTTTTCATAGGATCTGGCTCCTAACTGCTAGCCAACCACCTCATTTACAGATTAGCCAAAGAACAATCTTCCAACCCGGAGGTAAAATCTGCTTTAATAGGATTTTACTTTGAGAGCAACTTAAAAGATTTTCATGAGTAAATTTGATTATAAGAAAGTTTTACCTTACAAGTTGATTCAAGTACATAATCCCTAGGAGAATCTACTTTTTTTTTTTTTTTTTAGATTTTATTTATTTATTTGACAGATCACAAGTAGGCAGAGGCAGGCAGAGGTGAGGGTGCGGGGAGCAGGCTCCCTGCTGAGCTGGCTCTATCCCAGAACCCTGGGATCATGACCTGAGTCGAAGGTAGAGGCTTTAACCCACTGAGCCACCCAGGTGCCCCATAGGAAAATCTACTTTAACTAACTTTGAATATTCTAAGTATTATCATGTATATAAACGACTACTTTGTGTAACCCCAAAAAGCAAAAGAGAGAGGTGAAGATTAGTTTAGAGAACTTACTAATAATCACTTTAACCATGCCATGGACTGTCTCAGGAGGCACAACACAGCCCTTGGAAATCATTGATCAGAGGTTATAGGAGCACCTGAGAAGTTAAAATAGATCTAAAGAAATTTTGTGACTGATTCTGTCTTGATAAACACTGCTCTAGGCCATATTCATTCTGACGGAAGTTTTAGCTGAAAGTGGCCTGACTTTGAATGAAGTTACCCAGTGAAGTAGCATAATATAATTTTTTTAACCCAAATTTATGCTGTTCTGATGAACCAGGAAGCATGTATTAGAATACTCTTATTGGTCTCAGAAGTTTTGAATTCCTGAGATTTGTCGAGAAGTTTCCAATATTAGTAAATGTGATCCTTGAGTTTTATCTTAGTCATCTGGGCCACTATAACAGAATACCATAGACTGGGTGGCTTATAAACAACAGAAATTTATTTTTCACAGTTAGGGAGGCTGGGAAGTTCAAGACCAAGATTCTGGCAGAATCTGTGTCTGGTTAGAATCTGCTTCCTGCTTCATAGACAGTAGCCTATTCCCTGTGTCCTCACATGACAGAAGAGCGAAGCAGCTCGCTGGGGTCTCTTTCACAAGGGCACTAATCCCATTCATGAGAGCTCCATCTTCATGACCTAATCACTTCCCAAAGGCCTTTCCTCCTAACACCCCCACATCGGGGATTAGGTTTCAACTTACAAATTTGGAGAAGACACGGACATTCAGTCCATAACAAGTATGTATTCAAGAGGCAGTGTTGGTTGTGGTCTTCAGTTCAGTCGTCTGGCTGCCTGCTGAGTTGCACTATGGAGATTCTAAACCCAGCGAAGGGTTTTCATTGGCTGTATGGAAACAGTTAATACTTCCAGGAAGCTTACTATGCATGCCAGGCAAGGTTTTAAGCACTTAATAAAAAATAAGCTGTTTAATTCTCCCAGCTTCATTCCCATTAGACTGTAGTATGTCTATATTATTAATCGGAAATTGAGGTGCAGAAACAGGCTATTTGTCCAAGTTCACAAAGCTAGTTAGTAGTAAAACCCGGCCTTAACCCCATGCAACTTGGTTCTTGGGTTTGTGGTAAGCACTAAACTATGCCACTTCTCTGGGAACATAAGTTATAGTCACTGGCCATAAGCTTACAAGGCTACCACCAGGTGATGTAGAAATGATGGAGAAAATTCACAGTCCCTGTACAAGAGACAAAACAAAAACAACAGGCAAGCACTGATGATTGAGGTAAATACCGATTTTAGTACCTGATATTGCTGCATAAGAATAAGATTAAAACTAGATTTTTAGGTGTTTAGCTTTTTTCTATCTCGCCTAGGATGAAATTCATTTGGGCTGAGAAAGATCATTTTCTTAGCTCAGAATGATAGAGTTGCTAAAATGTATAGGGTATGGTTATGTTTCTTTTTTTCAGGCTCACCTCCCCTCTCCCTAGCCTCTTCGCCACTTTGTCTGAGCACTAAGCTTTAATAGAAGGCTCGCTGCTTCCGCACAATCTTAAGATTAAAGGTCAACCTGCAAGAAAACCAGCAATATGTTATCCATTTTCCTTGCCATAAACTTACCAATTTTTAACCCAATGAGTCTGAATTTTGATAACTCATTTTGGAATAGTATATAAATTTGCCTTTGCTGTATCACAAAGGGTGATGTTCATATATTTTAAAGAATAGAATCTTGGGGCGCCTGGGTAGCTCAGTGGTTTAAGCCTCTGCCTTCGGCTCAGGTCATGATCTTGGGTCCTGGGATCGAGCTCCACATCGGGCTCTCTGCTCAGCGGGGAGCCTGCTTCCTCCTCTCTCTCTGTCTTCCTCTCTGTCTACTTGTGATCTTTGTCAAATAAATAAATAAAATCTTTAAAAAAAAATAACAGAATCTTTAAGGATATTTGTCCCTTGTTTGCAAACTGTTCTTAAAAATTAGTCACCTCCTACAACTTTGACACCCAATTAACTACATATGTACTTCAAATGAATAAAAATACCTTGCTTTATTAGCTATTTTTATATATAAAATGTAATGTATGTTCATGGATTTAAATAAATGACAGGATAGAATCAGATAGGGGAAGAAGTAAAAACTACTCATTTCGCCCCATTTACATTCCCCAGTGTAACTAAAGCTTAATGGTTCCTTCTATATTTTTGGGTATCAGACTTTAATTTAGGCTATCCCCTCTCCTTGGTCTAAAATAATTCTTTCAGTTTTTACTGGGTTATACCTAATACGGATATTGAAAAAGCAAAAAAAAAAAAAAAAAAAAAGCAAGTATTTAGATTCTCACCTAAGGACACCTTAATTCTAAGGCATCAGAGATGAGAGTAGGACTTGTTGCAATTTGGGTACCACAGGAAGCTGCACTAAGATGCTTGCTCAATCTCCATATGCCCACTGCCAGTCCGTGGCACCCTTTCCAGAGGGAGATTTACAAAGGAACATCTGACTATGCCATTCCCTGGCTTCAGACTGACAAGGTTTTCACAATCTCCCGGGGTCCACTTTCTTCTTTCTGGCCTCATCCCCTGCCACTCCCCTCCCTGCCTTCTACCTCACTGTGATATATATGATTTCAATCCACCTTGCACATTTCATGAACATTTTTTCACTCTCCTAGACTTTCCTTCAGATATCCTTCTGAAACCATCTGCAAGTTGCCTGGGGAATGTTACTTGAGGTCTGCTCTTCTTTTCTTTCCCTGTGTGTATGTTTGGCCGGGTGGGGGTGGGGGTAATTAACAAGTATAGTCTAGACATGTATAATTCTTTTTTTTTTTTTAATTTTATTTAATTGACAGAGAGATCACAAGTAGGCAGAGAGGCAGACAGAGAGAGAGGGGGAAGCAGGCTCTCTGCTGAGCAGAGAGCCCGATGTGGGGCTCGATCCCAGGACCCTGAGATCATGACCTGAGCCGAAGGCAGAGGCTTAACCCACTGAGCCACCCAGGCACCCCTAGACATGTGTAATTCTTATGCTGACTGTTCAAATTCACTCTCTCCTTGTGTCCTTGTGTCTCCTTGCATATATCTCTGACTCTTGGGTGTACACAGAAAATTTATTCAGATTTAGATTGTGCTGAAATTAAGTTCGTAACAATTTTATGGAGTGATATTTTGGTAAGCAAACGAACAGAATAAAAGAGTATTTAAGGGAAACATTGGTAGGTGAAGACTGTAAACCACCACCATGTGCCTTTCATTCAAGGTG